AAATAGAGATAAAATCAATATTTTCACAACCGAAAAACCATAGTAAGTGAAACCGAGTGCAACTTTAGAGTCTCTTCAAAATACTTCTCTTCTTTTTTAAATTTTTTTAAAATTTTATTATTGTTATTATTATTATTTGTATAACAAAGAGAAAGAGTTATATACAAGTTGAAAGAGTACATCATCCGCTGTTCAAAAATTGTGCAAAGTGGTTGAAATCACTTCTCAGAATAACTGTTTGAACTACTCCTAACATGTGCTATTCAAAAATCTGCATAGCCAAGGGTAAAGCCTTGGGAACAGAAGCAGCGAAGAAAAGAGAAGTCCGGCCTCAAGCAATCTGAGTATATCGACAAAGTGTAAAATTATGAGAGCTCAATTGAGTACAAGCTCACAGAGAGACAAGTCCGACGTACTGTACTCTCCTGATGGAGTTCACCTTGAAAAACACAATGGAGCTGCTCGGGCAGTATCTCTCACCGCACTCCACTTGAAGTCAAACAATTTCGTGCATCAAAATTATGCGCTTGTGAGTGATCCACAATCTGCATCGTCGTCCTCGACATCACCTCTCCACTCCATGTGGAAAACCCTCGTTCTCATCCCCTCACTTACATACAGAAATCTCGCGTGCTCAGATTCTCTCGGCCTCGCTTTCGCCCTCTCTTTCCGCTCGAAGCCCACAAAGTCAAGAGAGCAGATGTTCTTTTAATATCACGTACTCAGTGGTCCTCTGTTTGCCAAATATTAAGTCCGCACCTAGCCGCAAGATGTGTGTCATTTCCGAATTTCAAAGAATCATTTCAAATTCAAGGCTCCCTCATATAAAATTTGATCCCCTTCACAATCTGAACAGGTTATCTTTCTCCAACCACACAAACTTTCTGAGCGACACACGTTCACAAGTTTAGATATAATCCCTTAGTTACACACTGTCCGTATTCAAAAGGGGACAAACCAACTATTCGCTCGATCCCCCTTCTGATGGTGAGGCTCAAAAGCTCAGTGCACATCACACATGACTTGCTCAAGATTACCTCCAGAGCCACTTTGACTCTGCTGTTCCGAGGCTGCGGCTGTGTCCGTACCCACACGACGCAAATAAATGAATGATTGGAATGACTCAGTAACGCAAGTTTATCCTTGGTTGCAATTGTGATGCACAATAAAATGTTGCGATTTTCTTCTCCTCTCGAACGTTCGTTCTGCTGGTTTTGCATGACAGATCCATGCCACTCGATTTATTCCTGGAATCTTCATTCAATAGGCAGGCACTATTATCCCGTAGGCAGCTTCAACTAGAATCCTATTAACTCCTGCATGAATGTGCAACGACGAACCTCATCGTCAGGCTATCGTCTTTGAAATGCATGCCTCCTCGTCTTTAGACGTACTTCTCCTCCACTCGTCAGTAGGAGGAGGACTGAGAGCTTCAGCCTTGCACAAGAAGTCTTGAATGACTCCCGATCCAAGATCACGCTCCGCTACAAAGTGGCATACTGCTGTAGCTGTTCAATTCTGAGATACATGGCATGGATTTTTCAGTGCGACTTGTCGCTAAGCCGTCAGACGACCAAGTTAATTCCAGCCAGTAACCTCGGAAGAAAAAATGCTTTGCTTCTCTACGATTGGCGCGAATCCGTTATTGGAGTGGATGATATTCGCTCACTAGCGCATGCTTCACGAGCTGAACTAGGTCTCTCCATTGGGTCGAGAAGTAGTCTTCAGAGTTGCCATAGCATCTATGGGCCCTTACCAGTGATAATCAGCCAGTCACTCGTGCACTCTTCTACCTCCGGTAAGCATGTGACTGACTCAAATCCTGCTCTTGATCTAATTCACAGTCGATAAAGAGACGCACCCCTTAAACACCTCTCACACTTCTCTCCTTTCATTCGCTCCATCAGTATATTGGGATCTCTACCGAATGCACTGGAACACCACTTTGAGAGAGAAACGATGGCAAACACTTTGCACAAAAAAAAAACCACGAAGAGAAAACTGAGAAAAACACGAACATAAACCTGAACATAACCATGGAAAGAAAACCCAGAAAAACACCAGCAAAACTTCACCACAACATCATCAAAGTATTCCGTTCGAAGAACTGAAAGTTCTTCGAACTATATTCTCCATTGAGAGTTGATCGAACTCAACGCTCCTCGACTCAAACTCAAATCTTACGTCTCGAGCCATGACAAGAGAGAGAGTTGAGTACATTTGATATATGCTATTTGGTCTTGCTATTTTTTTTAATAAAATCTGGAATAAATTTCCCCTTGCTGAATAGAGTGTGGGAATAGGCCATATTGTCAGAACAAAACGGAAGATAACTGAAATTCGGGTTAAAAATTAGAAACTACATCTACAATGATTTTGGTAAAAATTGATGGGTGCAATAAGCTGCGCATATTAAGATGGCGATTGCCCACGATCAATTGATAATATATTCAATTGTCACATCATAAGTACTTACAAGCTGGGGTAGATCATTCAAAATGAAACTTAATTCAACTCAGTGTGAATTGGAGAGCGTGGAAGAGTTGAGAAGTCCATGTTTAGATTGACAATGAGAGGATATGTGTCTAAGATTGTGTGAGGAAGTTTGTTCCACAAAGATGTGAAATATGATCGGCTTTATGATACATCTTGATTCTTGGATAGCTATCCTCTAGGTAAAAGCATTAACGCAAGAGAATGTTGACAAACGTATTGCTATGAATTGAAAACTATCATCGAGTCATAGCCTTCGAGTTTAATTCCAATCACGCCAAGTAATTTGCTCTAAGAGAGACAAGAAGAGATCTAACATGTCGAAGATTAACCCAATCAAAGAAGGAGTCTGCTATAAGATAAGTTATATCTAAAACGAGTGGTTTCTCGTTTTAAAGAAACATCTTGCACAAAGTTTGGATAGTAGAAGACTTTGTGACGAGACTAGTCAGAATTTATTGGCATAGATCTTTGTTCATGAAGATCATGAGATGGAAGTTCTGAGATGGTGAGAAACAAGTAGTTAACATCTGTTATCTATAGACATATATGCATAAATGAATTGGTCGAGATTATTGGAGAGATATAAATAACAAGGTGAGCAAGGATATCAGTGAGCAAACGCACTACCAATTTAGTTACCACTGTACAGATTGAAATTCAAATTCCTGCTGACATTATTTTTCTTTCATCTCTGGAGGTGATGAAAGAAAAGGTCTGATGGATGCCATGTAATAGCGACTTTTTGAATTCTCAATGATGTTATTTGATGTTATTTGTTATACTGAGGAACACGTATTTGGATAGAAAGCCTCGACATTGGAACACAAAGTAAGCACTGTAATGGAGATAGTTTGACCCCAAAGAAGAAGAATTCAGGTACATGATACCTTCGGGCGAGTCAGCCCCAAGTCGAAAGTCAAAAGCTACGAAGACGGTGTGAGAGCTGATTTGTCTTATCTACAGTTGATACAAAAGATTGACAAATTGTCATCTTATAGCACTTAACAAGTTGATGACCAAGTATATTCAAGGTCATCATCCCATTTAAGATGGATACATGATGACGATTTGAGCTATGGATGGGACAGCATAAGTAAAGTAAGAACTATTAATTAAATGGGTTTTTAATGATGTCTATGTGTTAATGATCTCAATAATTCTTCTACTGGTTGTTCATGCTCTACATATTATTCTAGGGTGATGTGGTCCAGATAAAGATATGGATTTCTTATTTGCAAGTCACCTCAACAGGTGACTTGCAAATCTTTTAAGAGAGATGCATAATCCCGCAATGTTGGGGAAACAAAACTGGCTCCTGTATTGCAAGAAGAGTGTTCCTACATCTGATATGTTTTTATTTGTTTATTCAAAGCTTTTGATTTTCTGTTGCAAGATCTTAAACGTGAGGAAACTCTTGATAACTTGGAACCTACACATCAGCCAACTGGATTCAGAAGTTTGATGAAGTTTATGGCCTCCCCTTTTCATTTGTAAGATCTTCGCATTTTAATTACAGTTCAGATGACCGACAATCGTTTCACGACATTCATTTAAAACCGCAGTGTCGGGCTTCTGTAAGTAGAGCTACGATGATACATCTTCTCAAGCCTAAGTTGTTCACTGACTTGTGTGTGATTGTTTGCAATCTCCACTGCTTTGCTTACTCATCTTTTGCTGACCTCCAGCTATCCGTACAATACAACTACAGGCGATACCACAACATAATTAAAATAAAAATCTTTCAATTATGCTTCTTCTGTACGGGACTAACTCAACCTGGAATATTTCAAGCTGGAGAATTTCAATTGGATTTTGAGCGAGACAGCAGTTTCTGAGATCATGGCAGGACTTAAACGTGGATTTTCTTCCTAATCAGTAAGATCCAAAGGTGCAAACCCTTTTACTAAACAATTTCCTATTTGTGTGGATACCTCTGATTTTCACTCGTCCCAGGTCATTGACCCTGATGACAGAGGTATACCGAATAGTGGCATTGAGTTGCAAGTGATACAATGCATCTAACATAACGAAATTTCCATTCAAAAACTCTGCTCAGATAGAAGTAGGACAGAGGCATGGTCATGGCTTTCGCTCACAAGAACGGGATTCAATGTTAGCATACTTTCATAGTCTCGCGAAGTTCTGTGAACCCACCTGTAAGCATACTTTCATAGTCTCGCGAAGTTATGTGAACCCACCTGTAAGCATTATTTCATATTCTCGCGCAGTTATTGAACCCACCGATCCTCTATGGTTCTTGCCATAAGGAAATGCAATGCAGCTGTGTAGAAATTAAAATTTGAACGCGAAGAAACAACAAGACAAACATGTTAGTATGAAATCTGTTGAAGGAGATGATGGACTTGAAGGAACTAGTGTTTTGCCAACTTTTCGAATAGAAACTGAAGGCAGATCCATGCATAATGTGCATGGAATTGTACCCAATAACGCGAAGGGTGGGTACTCTCAAACATGAAAAAGCCACATATCAACTGCGTGTAGCTGAATGAAAATTGTGCAAAAGATTTCCATTGATGTGGATGTCAATTTACAAAGTGGTGCCTCGTTGCCTCTACTTAAAATGTGGTTCCCGCCTAGGGCTGGACTTCGTCCCCTATCCGTGATACAAGTGCCATGGTAGTACCACCCGATTACACTAAACATTAGAAGGGTACTCCCGTGAAACAACACAAAGCCGCCGTCGATGCAACAGGTCTTTAATGATCTCTAGTTTGACTTGGCTGACCAGAATAGATAGTCCATAAGATCTCTGTTATTACAAACGGTTCTCGTACCTGTAGGACGTTGTTATACTTGTTTCTCACTAGTCTACATTAGACCTGGCATGTCCTCAGCAGGACCATCTTCCTCGTCATGATATATGTTCTCAGCCATTTGCCACAGCTGGAGAATATTATCTTCTGCCACACTAGATATAAGCCAGGGTTCATTTGGATTCCATGAAAAATCTGATATTTTACTGGTATGGCCTCCGTGAATAAAGAGAAGCTCCGGTGGTCCATCCTCTGCGTCTTCGGGTAATTGCTCTTCACCGACTCTGTTGTAGGGAGGTAATAGTTCAGAGGTATTAGTTCAGAAGTATTAGTTCCATAACAAAAGGAGGTAAACTTAACGGTAGGAAAAAAAGGGGAGGGGCTAGTTATCCCTCAGTTTGGGCTAATTATCCCTCACCTTACTATATTATACAGAAAAGAGCTCTGTGATTGGTCCAAGCTATCCCTATGTTTACTACGGCTGTGTGATATAATCTTAGCGGGCACAGGAAAATGGGAGAAGTAGTGCACATTAGCCTAGGGTGTGGGATAATTAGCCCAAACCGAGGACTAACTAGCCCCTCCCAAAAAAAAACATACAAAGCCAGTGTAATAAAGGTTGTAGCAGTCCATCATTGTCAGGAGAATCACGTAACTATGATATGAAGCCACGCAGGGTACTTGACCCGGCATGAGCTCAAAGATGTTAAGGAGGCCAGATACAGGTTTCAGAAATAGATACTGCAAGAAGCGCGTTGAAACTCTGCCTGCTACTACAGATAAACCAACAAATCAAATAACCGGAACACAAGATTTCTCACCTGCTTAAATCCCACACCATTAATCTTTTGTCCGCCCCACATGACGCTAGGATCGTTTGGTTCATTGGACTCCACCCAATTTGGAAAACCTCCTCACTGCACAGACCAGTGAAGTTTCAGTTTCACATCACATCGAGCGACATTCTTCCAATTGGACCTCATTTCAAATAGATGTCTAATATCTTTCAGAGTGAAATGTATGTACGTACGCGTGGTTGACGAAAGTGTGTAGGCACTTGGACAACTTGCGTAGATCATATAGTGCCACTGTCCTGTCGGCAGAGCCTGTGGCGAGGAGGTACTCGTTGAAGGGATTAAAGGCTAAGCAATTCACCTGCCAATCCAGTGACACCGTTACTCAATTGCAACTATTTGATTCAGAATAACACCTGTGACTTTCAATGAACTCAGTCCGGACGGTAAGATAAATCTAAAACACCTGTCAACAAAGTGAGCATGTACCTCAGCCTGATGTGCATCAATTGCGTGTAATGGCTTTTCCGCAGTTGACGTCCTGGTATCCCATATCAATAGCTGCCTGTCATCTCCAACGGAACCAAAAAGGTAGTCGTGTCTCAAGTGCCAAGCGACGTCTTCAACCACGCCAACATGGCCCTGCAAGATCCATACAGGCGTGATGAGAAGAAGCAAAAAGGTACAGAAGTTGTAATGGGTGCTAAATGCTTTCCTTGTTCAAGTGGTTGGCGAGAACATGAGTACTCAGCCCTTAAAAAGAACTAACAAACATAAAACCATCTGTAAGCAAGCGCAGAAAATTCAAACAGCAACAGTTGCGCAAAGAAGTTTGTTTATGGGCAGATGTAACAGTTGTGTCGAGGCAAGCTAGAGCTGAACGAGAAGCACACCTGAAAGGTCTGTTTGGCATCCAGAACTCGAGTGGATTTGGAAGCAGAGCTGATGTCCCACAGACAAATTTGAGAGTCGTCTGAACCACTCAGAAGATGACCCTCTCTGAAAGAGCTCCAAGAAAGGCCATAGCCCTCTGTTCGGTGGCCTCGGAGACGCAAATCAGGATTGCAATTGCCTTCTTGTGGTGGCTTGGATGGGTGTTTGCTGTAGTCGAACACATAGACTTCCGCACTGACCGTTTTCGTAGCAATTAGGAAGGGATTTTGGGGCATGTAACGCGCTCTGTTCACCTCTCCCTCATGGTTGATTTGCTGTATGACTTGCACCTAAGGAATCAAACGGAGAAGGCTCTCAGAAAGTGACCAACCCACAATCTGGAGAACAGACTCATAGAGACAAGCCCCTCACAGAACATGATCATAAAATGACCTCCAATAATTGTTCCACAGACAAAAGAAGTGGATAAAGCACCAACTCTCTGTCTACACATTTCTGCAAAATCTAGTTCGAAAACAAGCCAACCTGAGAGTTAATGACTGCTTCAAGTTGGCAAAAGCGTTAGACAAGAAACCATTTAATGTGCACCGCTTGACCTGCGTCTGGGTTTGCAATCAAGTTCACTCGCAGTTTGTCTCATTCCGACCAGGACATTACCAACACAAGACGCTATCGAAACTAAGCGGCGAAGAACTCAACACCGTCATGAATCCAAACACTTACATTTAGAACAATAACAAGCGAGCAGAAAGGGGCCATGAAGGACATTCTAAAATTGTAAAAAGAATAAACGAGTGGGAGGGAGAAACTGGGAAATAGGGTTCACCCGTTGCTTCACCTTGCCGCTCGCAACGCCAAATCCCCCAATCTCACCGCGCTCGTCATCGTAATGGCGAGCATCGTTTTCCGTGTCATCGAGGGGAAGTTGGACTTCTGCGAGCATCAAATAATTGGGTTCATTGTCTGAGGTGTGCGTACCAAGTATCAATTTCTGTACCGAGTAGTCTTTCCCAGCTGGCTCCAGCCGGTCTGGCAACCATTGCACAGTGAGGCTGGGCCATTCCATAGCATGAGTTATCACCAAATCATAGAGAAAAGGCGTATTCTTCTTCCAGATCTTATACTCCTCGTTCACCAGCCTCTCCTCCATCTCATCACGGTACTCATCATCCTCCTTCGCCATCTCTTCCCTCCCTCTCCCTATTCCTCTCCCTCTTTCTGAATCCTCGTCTCTCTTACCGCACTTGCCCCAAAAATCCCACGAATCCCTCCCTCACAATGCCCTCCTTCCCACACACACACAAACACACCCCCCAGCACGGCCCAAAATCAAATCAATGCCTCCAGAGTCCTTCACCCTGCCTCACGCGACACAGCACAAATCACAGCACACTGGCCCGACCCAACCCAGCGCTGACCTCACCTCGACAACATAAAGAATCATCGACACGACCACAGACTGGAACTACACATAGGATTTCCCTCTAACGCCTGCGCGCAAGCAAGCGCTCGAGGAGGAAGACGAAGAAGAAGCAGCAGCAGAAGAGAAAAGAATCGGCCTCGATGGCTGCTGCTCGCTTGCTTCAGCTCGATGAATCTTCGGGGCCGCTCGAAGGCCTCAGCTCATCGTCGATGCACAGAAGGAGGGCCGAGGAGATGGAAGAGCGGGGCATTGGCGTCGTCGTCGTCGGGGGGCAGGTCAAATGTCTTCCCCTTGCTCCTGTCGTTCGCGTTGTGCTCGATACAAATGAGCGTGCTCGTGCCGCGGGAAGGGGCCGCGCCAACCAACGGGTCGAGAACCAAAGTGCCATCTCGAATTGCCGCCAAATTTTCTTGAGCGTGCTCGGGGGCGGGGGCGGAAACGTGGACGGGGACGGACAGAGTTTCCACCGGACTACTTCCGTTACGGAGTCGAATCTCTTCTTCTTCTCTTCGATCTCTCTCTCGTCTCGTCTTCCCTTCGCTCCTCATCCGACGGCAGAGATTGAGTGTTGCAGAATCGGCGGTGGGCCCCGCCTCCGTGCCGCGCCTTGTCCTTCACCTCTCCTCTCCTCCCGTCGCGCAGAGCCGCGACTCGACCGCACCCCTGTCAGTCGAGTCGACCATCAGTCATCCCAGGTTTCCCGATCGCGACGTCTCGAGGTCCGATGCCGAGACTCGTATCTTACTCGCCCGCACTTCGCGACGAGGCTCGCCATCGAGATGGCCAAGAGGGGAGCGTCCATGTACGGCTCGATGGGGTCTTCCCATCCCTAAACTTTCCGTTCCGACGTCGAGCGGCACGTCAAGCGAGTACGGTGTGAAAGCGCCGTGCGGCTGACGTGGAGCTGACGTGGGATTACGTGGTGTATACTTGGCATGCGTAAGTCAGGAGAGGGAGGGAGGGAGAGCAGCGCGGCGCTCGGAAGCGGATTTTCGAAAGCAGCGCTCAAGAATTCATGTGCTCGAAGGACGAGACCTCGAGGTTGCAAAATATCGTCCAATTTTTTTCTACTGATCCAATCTACGTTCGAGGATACGGAAGCGATCACGGATTGTTCGCCAGCTTGCGGGAGTTCATTCAGAGCTGAGGATTGTTCGGTCCGGCGAGGTCGACCGATTTGCGTTTGGGCCACGACCACTTTGTTGCAAGGCGATAAGGAGTCTGTGATTAGATTGCTTCCTTTTTGGAGCGTGACAGGAGTCTGCGAGATTGCAAATCTGGATTGAGCATTCGATTGCTTGTAAATTTTTAGATGGAGCAGTATTTAGTCGACCACGGCTTGAAAGTCACTGTTGTCGACACCAAAGGCCGTTGCCTCGTTGCTGATCGCGATTTTAGCCCTGGTATGATTCTACAATATTCGCTTTTATCTCTGCTAAAGTGGTCAGACTAATGTCCTCATTTTTTTGTTATAGTTTCTGCTTTTTGCTTGATTCAATTGTCTATTGAATATAATAATATAGTGTAAAATTGTCCTGCTTGAATGGGCGATTTGGAATCTCGGAAGATTTTCCTGGGTGTGAGGGCGTTGCTCTGTGATTCCGAGTTTTTGTTTGGCTGTCTGCCGTAAGATGAACGAGCAAGGTGCTGTGTTTCTTTCAGGTGAGATAGTTTTGGACCAAGAGCCCTACTCATCGGTGCTAGATGCCGAGTCAAAGAGCCTACGATGCGATGCGTGCTTTAGATGCTCAGAAAATTTGCAGAGATGCTCTGCCTGCAAGAGTGTTAGCTATTGCTGCACCAGCTGCCAGGTATCATAACTGAACTAGGTTCTAAAAAACCTTCCGCTTATCAAGATTTAGAACTCTAGATCTTCAAGCAAGCAAACACAAGGCGTGGACTCGTCTTGCTTCCTGATAAACCCTCGCTCTGCACAAGTACCTTAAAATCACCAGTATTTTGTTCAAGTGTTCTTACTCTGGTCTAAATACGGCTTGGATATTTTCCAGAGGAAGGAGTGGAAACTGCACAAGAGCGAATGTCAGATGATGGTGAAGCTCAGTCAAGCGAAACAAAAGTTGCCACCTCCGTCATTACGGCTGATAGTTAGGCTTGTCATTAAGAGAAGATTGCAAGCTAGCAATGTGAGTCTTCAACTTTTTCCAGCATGAGATGGAACTTTCGGAGAGAACCTGGCATTTCATTCTAGTTTTTTCAATTAGTCCAAGTTCTTAGAATGAAGGCCGGTTACTAGCAATTACGTTTCACTTTGAGATGTTTGGTTCTGGAAATGATTGATGAATTTGGTAGTTAGTGGTCTTTAGTGAAGATCAGGTGATCGGGTTAAACTTACCGAACTTTATCTCCTGGAATTTGGAGAGGTTAGACGGGAGCAAACTTTAAACTTTGACAGCTTACTTTGTGCCAAGACGTGTATCTAGATTATTCATGTCGAAGGTGTTTATCCCTCCGTGGTAATTCTCTGATTGAAGGATTTTGTCCTATGCTGACTTATACTTCCCTTAAACCATGGGTAATGATTTGACGAACAATTTTTAAGTTTACTTACAAATGTTACAAACGCTGTGCATGTCCTTTAGGTCTTCCCCCGAACAAACGTCGATAATTTTGAGATTGTGGAGGCTTTACCTACTCGTATCCTCTTTTGCAGCTTCGATGGCTCTTGTATATAATTTCTCTTGTCAATTTCTGTGTGCGTTCAGTTTTCTGCATGTTCAGCTATCGTGAGCTCCAGCTATCTCAACGTTGTTCGTTACTTGTCTTCAGATGCTCATTTCTTCGAACGTTTGTCTTTAAGCTAGAAGAATAGCTGTAAAAGGCCTTTGGAGACCTGTCCGTTTTATACTTGACTTCCTACAGATTTTTCTGAGACAGGAGAGGAGCGTTTGGTTCTATACGCCCAAATGTCGAATCTGGTGAAAGCAATTGTTACTCCCCTTGAGGTGGATCTCAAAGAAACTTGTGAATTGTTCTGCAGGGTAAGTAAGATCGTTCTGTACCCCAAGAAGAGCTGTCTTGCTCTGTCGTATTGCGCTGTAGCAGCCCTGCTTAAAACTGGCAGGATAGTGCAAATTAAAAAGTATAACAAAAAGCTTTTATGATTCTATGTCGTCAATATTGTCTCCATAATTCAAGTTATTCTCGCAGATTGCGTGTAATGCACATACCATTTGTGATGACGAGTTCAGACCAGTTGGCACTGGTTTGTATCCCGTTGTATCGATCATCAACCACAGGTTAGACCATCCCTGTCTCTCCCATCGTACTATACCAGGTGTTTAGTTGATGTGATTATATATGCCATGTGTGCCAAGCCTTATTTTTTTCCATCAATATCTGAAACCTCAGTATCAGGACCGGAAAAGGATTGTAATTTTGATCAATGGCTTACTTTAAGATCAGAGAATTTCTAACATGAACTTCAGCGCACATTTTGCAGCTGTGCCCCAAACTCAGTTCTTTTGTTTGATGGGAGGAGAGCCATCGTGCGAGCCATACAGAAAATAGACAGAGGAACTGAGGTGAAGTTTGAAAGCTTTGAAACTTTAATTGCATTTCATCATAAAAGTTTCAAAGAATACTATCTCCTGCGGCTATACCACGCACTTTCAGTAACACACTACCCTTTGTCAGGAGGGTCCCTGTTTTTATTTTCACACTAACACTGTCAAACTTTTAACAGCTGAATGCAGGCGAAGTTCGGACCCAAGCTGAGCATGTCCATTCATTTGATTTGAACGCAGGTGACATTAAGTTATGTGGAGCTTGCCGGCAGCACCAAAACTCGTCAGAAGGCTCTCAAAGAACAATATTATTTCTCTTGTCACTGCACACGCTGCATGAATGCGGTCCTTATCTTGATAACCCTATCCTGCGTTGTTGTGTAAATCTGCAACTAGTTCCAACCAGATGGGACATATTATCTTCATCCTGTGGTACATTGGATCTTATGTTACGACCCTTGAAATTCGCTTCTTGTAGTAGGAAAACCCTCACAGCCAGCAGCGCAAACGGCCAGATTTCTGTTTCTGAAATAAGACTTGCAGATTTCATAGGAAACGGTATCATAAGATAAGGATATCATGTTGACAGCTTATGCAACAGATATCAATGTTATTATCTGATTTTATATTGGTGTGTAGGAAACCACAGAAGGAACAAGAGAAGATTCCATCCTTGAGGGTTATAAATGCTCCAATGAGCAATGTGATGGTGCCGTAATACAAGAGAGAGGTAAAATATCCAGCTAAGTTTGTAGATACACTCATAGGGATAACTGGGTGGGGGGGGAGGACAAGGTTGTTGACACCAACTGTCTTCATTAGCTTCGTTGTGTGCGTCATGTATACTACAGACTCTACTTATTTCACTTACTGCGCAGATCAACCTTATTTTCGGTGTATACTCTGTGGTTTAACTCACGATGGAGACAAGTTCAAGCGCTTGGAATCAATGGCAACTAAGCTGACGGAGGAAGCCAACGCAGCAGTTAAATCCGGCAGTATCCAGAAGACACGTTACAAGCTTTTGTCACGGCTCAGACGAACTTGTCCACAATTTTGAGACACCTTAAGTCATCTTTTAGATCTTGCATCGCCAGGCAGCCGACTACATAAGCTGCAGCATTCCGACTGTGATTTGTTTTTGGTTTTTGACTATACATCTCCTAGTTGTACGATTTTACTGCAGTTCTGTGCTTTATGTAATTCTTAACGAGGCCAGACGATGCACGCGCGCGCTCCATCTTCGAACAAACAGAAGCTATCCAGACAACTTTATACCACAGATACTCAGTACATCTTATGCGAACAAGGGATGGTTTGCTGAAGGTACTGTTTCATCGAGTGTCGATATGTCGAGGCCTATCGCAGGGCTTTGCTTCTTTAAGGTTGACCTGAGAAAGTTTACCATGTTTACATTTACACCTTGGAGCTGTCTGTTGACTGTGTAGAGTTGTTACATAACATCTAGACGCAAGCTGTATCCTTATCCTGTTCTAAAAATCTCGAGTTTGTAATACTGTCATATCAAATTTGCAGGTATGTATGTCTCTTAAGGATTGGAATGCGGCGCTGAAGTATTGTCATTTGACACTTCCTGCTTATGAAAGTAAGCTTCTGATCATAACGTACAAGCTGCCAACTTGGCATCTTGCTTATTTCTTTGTATCAACTGGAGATGTCATCTTATTTGTTACTACATTGAATCATTTGGATTGAATGTAAATTCTTGATCGACTGAAAGAAATTGCATCTTATTTTCACCTTGCGGATCCAGGATCATATTCAATGAAATCGCCACTTGTTGGGCTTCAGTACTATACTCTCGGCAAATTACAATGGTAATACTGTGACTCCTTAACTTCCTAGATTTCCGATTTCTTCCGGAGTTGCATCCTAATAAGTGACTTGATATACAGTAATTATTTTTGTCATTGGGTGGAAGCGAATTGTACACTGACTGTATCTCGCGTGGCAGGTTCCTCGGCGATTCCTTGGAAGAAATTAGTGGTGTTGAAGTTTTGAATCGTGCTAAAGAGATACTGTCAATAACGCACGGTTCTTCATCGAAACTCGTTCAGGAACTCTCTAGCATGCTTCTAGAGGTAAACATGGAGGCGGCATACAGAGTTCAAAAAGGATTAATGAAATGACGGTGTGCAAATGTGAACAGCTGAAGTGGCTTCCAATAATAAAATTTGAAATCGTAAATACTATTATGGGGTGACAGTTATGTGCCTCGGGGAGGAAGTCACGCGTGGTCATTTGTTATCTGTCTACATGTACCTCTTTTATAATGAAACTGACCTCCAGTTTACTCAACGTCGTCGTTGACGGTTGGTTGTCCATAATATCAGTGCTCGATGCGTGGACACCTGGTTGCCTTACGTACTTCTCAACCTTGTACTTCAAGCTTGGCAATTTGTGAAGAGGTTGTCTGAATTCTCTTGACCAATAAACTTTTGCCTTTGGTTACTCTTGCCTTAATTTGAGATGGCGATTATGACAAAACCACCTTCCTTACCTACGTAGATATGAAATCACCGCCAGCAAAGAAAATAAGAACAGTTCATTACTATATAAGAACTAACCAAAACTAATGTTTTCAATTGGTTTTTCATCGTGTCTCCGTATGTCTAAACCCTGTCATTGTGACAACCAACTACGCACAACTTGGAGCGTATTATAAAAGACAGATTGGATAAAATTCAAAATAATTGATGTTTGTCGCCGTGTAATCAAAATCTTCTTAACCATTCATATAGGTGACTGCGTTTGATCTGAAAAGGGCTATGCCGTGGAAAATTGCATTAAGTAGAAGTAAAGGTACACGATTATACTGTTCAGAGTCCGGTGGCAAACATCCGATAGTTGAATCAAGTGACGAGGTGGCAAACATCCGATAGTTGAATCAAGTGACGAGTCAAGTATGACTTGTCACTTGATTGCAGAAGATCTGGTGTCAATCTTATTGTCAAAGCACGCTCTGATAGCGTAATATCTACCACAGCCACAACTATTGCCGTGGATACACAGTCACAGCGTCCATCTCAAAAGTCGTGAAAAGTTGTTCATGACTTCGGCAAATAAGGTCAGATTTACAAACGCGAAGACTCAGGGCTGGAATTGCCTGACTCACCTGATCCACTGCTCACTTCCACCATTTCCTCACTGTAGATAGGGACAAGTTTAAAATTCCTCCATTGAACAAGTCTCTATAAAACTTGAACGAAAAGTAAAAAGGATAACCGCTCGTACGGGTATAATATACTCCTAGATAACAACCATAATCCTCTCTCATCGAAGAAGAGTAATTTAAGACAAGCATTGCCCCATCATGCAAAGACTACCTTGGTATTTGGACGAACCATACTGTCACTTGAGTGGAGATGATGAACATGATAAGAACATAGATAGACATTTCAAATTTCATTCAACTGGGGTGCCACTTCTACATCAGAATGGCCATTGAATCCACGGGGAAAATATTTTACTGAGGCGGGTTACTAAAAACCCGTCAAGCTCTTAAATATGTCTTCTTCCTTCGGTGCCAAACACGTTTCTTGACCTGAACCTTCAGAGTCATCGTGCCTTTTTGATTCACCGAGGGCATGAAGAGCATAGAAAAATCTGGCAGAAGAAGACATGTATGAACATACTTGGCTTGTTCGATTTCTACGGTGGTATTGGATGACGGCTATACTCAGGAAAAAATATGTAGAGACTTTGTACATAGACTTTATCACAGACAGCCATCAAGGATAGACATAAGCAAGATAATAGCTTGGCTGAGCATTTCGACTGGCACCCACGCGGCTGCCTTTGGAAGGATAAGAGAAACAAAAAAGTGGACATCTTTTCTGCATTAAGCCGCATAGTTATCTCTTAAGCACACGGATAGTGAATTCGTACCGACATAACCATACAATTATATGCAAGATTGCATGCGGGACTCTCCAAACAAAGGGTTTTGAACACCATTTCTAGCTGATTTTTCTTATTCAGTATCTGAAAAAAGAATGCAAGTATCTCAAGGCTCTCTGTTGGACCCGTCACTCCTCTAATTTTGCACGACGGAGAAAGATTTCTTTTGTATTTAGAACTCTTGGCTTTCAGAAAGGTCAGACCTGGTGGGGTAATCCAGCCCGTGAAGAACCTGCATCTTTCTCAAGTCTTCTTCCGCGTACAAAGGAAGTATCCAGTACAACTTTCTTGATCCAAAAACCTGGTATTGAACACATAGTCAGATTTCAAACACAGATATGAACAAGATAAAAACATCATCAGTTTTTCCCCGGCGGTTGTTCCTTCTAGTGAGATCATGTGGTCACCCATAGCGTACATGCGGAACTCCCATGCAGATTATGTCCCCCAGATTTTTTGTAAATTTTTATGTAATTTACAAGAATCTGCAGCGGAAATATTTACATTCGCATACTATATTCCTTTTACCTGCTCAAAATTCCTCCTGCGACCAAGATCGAATCTCCACCTTGTAGATGCCTTCTTTTCATATGCCTGCAAGGAGAAAAGAGAAAAGCTCAGAAAACACTAAAGGTGGTTGAATTGAGGTCAATTACTTCTCCTTCAGAAAAATCTAGAAACACGCTCACTAAGTTCGATGGAGTATAGAATTCACCTCAATCGTAGTTGTATTTCCCGACACCAGAGACACGTGCATTATCAGAAATCCCAGCACACTCAGGGCAAACGCCAGGTTCAATACTGAAGCAAAGGTAGATCCAATGTCAGTGATATATACATACATATATCAAATGTCACACGCTCTAGCATGTCAATTATTCAGTAGTTATTCTACACATGGATATAGCCTGATCTGTACAACGACATCAACACTAGGTATAAAATTTTGATTCCGGTGTAACAAGATCTTTAAAAGATGCTGTATAATATTGAAAGGATGCCATCGAATCCAAGCTACTACACAACCTCATCATAGACTATATGACTCAAGGAGGAGAAGAAACAGCGTGCAATCTCATACCAAAACCCAAGAAGGTGGTTGCCAGATTTCCAGGAAGAGAGGACTCGTCGTCGACATCGCTAAAAAATGCAATGAAATGTGGGAGAAGTGAGGCTGTCACTAAAGTCGTCTCCAAGAAAGTGTACAACTGCAATATTAGACGGAGAGCAAATAAGATACAAATTAAAACTTCCCGGTTTGGATGATGGCAGCAATCTAAATAATCACAGAAACGTTTTGCCAACGATAAATATTTGCTACCTGGCATGATGCTTAAACGGCGTCGGCTTGACTTAAAAGTCTGCTATTTACAAGCTGAGCTGATGACTTTGCCACTTACAAGGAAAAGAAGGAAAAATTTGTAATTACGAGCTCCCACGCAATTGACCACCCATACACAATGGTGATCCATCTTCAGTATACATCGGCCACCTGTGTTAAATAAACCATACAATCATCATCCGAATTCCAGTTGCAAAGAAGACAGAAATTGTCTCCAAACCTTTTCGGAACCTCACTCGTTCATGCTTAACGCCTACGTCAGAGGAGCCTATGCACGTGAAACAAAGGGGCTGCAGTTTTTTTATAAGATGTTTTTATCAAAAGTACAATCAGATAGAGGACTTACAGACTGAGCAGTGGTGACAACGAGGAGGTTTGAACTGGCTGCACTTCCTGCAAAATCGTACTTTCTGAGCACCACCCGGCCCTGATGGTTGCAAATTGGAACCGGCAGCAGGGTTCCCAGCAGCTAAAGGCATAGATTGGGCCTCGATATCCTCCTCGTCAGTGATAGGCCTCCAATTGGAAGGAACACCACCAGGGTCTGTCAAGACTACTGTGAAGTAACACCATAAAAGCATGACAAGCTGCAACACAAACTGAATCAAGTTAATGTTCATAACGGACGTGACCGACAATTTTGCAAACGTCGGCGCCGGACTAAGGCACGAAGACGGAATTTCCCAGTTCCGCCGACTCGTGGAATAAAAAAAATTCGTTTCATTCAAATTGTGTCTTCATTCATGATCTGGATTTGATGGATGTCAAAAGGAAACTAAACCATGGTACGGAAATACACACGCACCGCTGCACTCATAACAAGCTGATATGCCTTCAACCTCTATGGGCCTCGCTTGAAATCAAGCACCATGTAGGGGCTAAAAAATCACAACAGACACAGAAACAAACGGAGAAGCTTACCAGGCCATGGAAGAGGAGTAACACGACCAAGGCGATGGCAGTTTGAGAGCCACCTTTCAGAACCTCCAGACCGTAGTTGGATATAACTACTGCATAGTACGACACCGCAACTACTGCCAGGACAACAAGGATCATGACAGACCCTACAACCCTCAACCCCGTGCAAAACTTAAAAACGTTCCACGCCATTGCGAAACGAGGTCGATACAGTAGGCCCAGAATAGTTGGCAAATGCCTCCCGCCAGCAATTCCGGCACCCCTCCTCAACGACCTCCACGCCAGATTGATTACTTCTAGTCCTGCCGTCCTGACATCTCCCTCCAGAACTTCGTATTGTCTCCTTAAACCCACAGATGTGTCGATCGTAAGAGCTCCGAGACCAAACTTGAGAAACTCTTGTGGTTGATGCACAAGATTTCGAATGCCGTATGTGAAACTCAGAAAACTAGAAGTTGCCTTGCATTCAGATTTGCATGGTCGACAATAATAACAATTCAAAACCACCTGGCATTGCCCAAACTCTATTTAACTGACACGTTATATCTTTCTTGAAAGCATTTGGGTTGTACGATAGCAGGGTCCTCGGCTCATACATTTGTCTTCTGCATTGACTCCGCTCCGAGAACCTGAAAGAAGAACGGGTGATCAACAACCACGAAGACTCAATATCACTGCCGATCGGGCCCATACCTCTAGCATGGGCGTCATCAATAACAGATCACATCTAAAGGACAAAACATCACAAAACCAAATAGTAACAATATATATTCTTACATGCAGCCGGCAACTGCACCCAGATCAGACCAAGCAGTCAAGCAAATGTTAAAAGAAATCCGAATGTTATCATAAACGGCACCTGCTTTCAGCGAACGACAATTTGGGCTCCATAGGCCATGACAGCGAAATCAAAATGCATAAATTTTCCTGGCATAGACTGATGAATCAGCCTCGCCGCTGGCACACTTTATTGACCGGAACATTTCAAAAGAGGAGGAGGGGCTATTCCATTCTTCAAGAGCAGACAACTTAGGTTGGTTCTTTGCCAGCCGGCTCGACTTGTAGCTGCCAGGAAGAGAAATAGTTATGATCACAAGTTCTTCATTGTAGGAAAAACCCTTACACCGGAAACAGAAAGTCACTAAGACACTTGTCTCCGTGAGCACTAGCGGACTACCCCAGCATGCGGCCTACTTTGACAGCTTCGTCTCCTCGTTCAGATGAATCTTGAACTGGCTATCAATAAAATACTCGTCCACCACTATCGGGCCTCTATAGAACCTATACGAAATGACGTTAGTGTGAAAGGCAAGAAAGTGGACGGAGACATCCACTACTTAAAAATTGTTGGACGTGTAGTGATGCGGCAGTCGATTCGAACTCACTTGGCGCACCAGATAAGCCAACAAACGATCAGTCACTGCTGTTTAGCGAACGTTCATATCACACGCGAGGTGCCATCCGCAAGAAGGCAGGGTAAGTGCGCGATCAAACGCCGGCGGAGAATGCAGCGCGTGTCAATCTCCAACGCACAACACAAATCCACACGCATCGCCGCCATGAAGCAGATCTCGATCTCAGTCCCAAACAATAATTCCGAAGCCTTGTTGGGGAAAAAGAAAGAAGACGACAACATAATTTTCAAAACCAAAACCCCGCAAGATCAGAAAAGAGGAAAAACCTCATGTACGTCCGTGATGCTGCTGATCTTGATACAACCAACCCAACGACCGGCAAGAAAACATAATGCAAATCTCCAACCACAAAAACGTAAAGGCGGCTAGGTGCAAGCAGGCAGGGAGGCATGCGAGCGAGCAACTGAGCGAGCCAGACAGGAAACAAGACCGACCTCGAGCGACCAAGGAGAGGAGGGAGTCCACTCAATCCATCGCTATCATCCGGCGAGGCGATATGATACGGCTGAAGACAGGTAGATAGATAGAAGATAAATCACGAGCTGCTGTCGCTGCTGCTGCTGCTGCTCTGCTGTTCGTCCTCCGATCCTATTGCTGCTGCTGCTGCGGGAGAGGAGGAAAGCCTCTTCCCGTCCTTCCTCCCTCACTTCTTCCCCTCCTCCCTCCTCTTCTTCTCCTCTTGCTGCTGCTGCCTGCTGCCTTGGGCTTTGGCTTGGGCTCAAAGGAACGACCGAACGAACGAGAAACGAACGAGGCCTGCACTTGAAGGAAGGAGGGAGCGAGCGAGGGAGCGGAGGGAGGGAGAAACCTCGTCCTGCCTCGCAGTCCCTCCTTTGCAGCTCGCGACCCCTTGCGGGCCTGCCATGTGGACAGATCTCGATGACATGGAGAATCTGACGGTTTTCGACTTCTGAACAAGCCTGCGACCGCAGGCTACGTGGGCAGATCTTCTCCGTGATGTGGATCATCGGACGGGCGGTTGCTAGCGAGGACGCGGTTTCCATCTGCCACGTGGACGGCCTCCACTGATGTGGACGCCCGACCGGACGTGGAGTCCTGCATCCGCGAAGCGCGGTGTGTTGGTGTTGTCCGCTGGGGACTTCAATTGTATTTGCCCTCTTCCTCGACGGACTGGGAGGCGTCCGTCCGTGCCATGCCGGATGATAATACATACGCCCCGCCCTTCCCCGCCCTTTCACCGGCTCGACCTGAACTCTGGATCTAAGAATCGGCAAAAATAATGCCAAACGAACCCCATCAGATTATTTAAATAATATTCCCTGCCCTGCCTAAACGCGCCAGCCCCTTTTTCCAACCAAACTGCCGCGCACTGATGTGCATGCCTGCGACCGCCCTGTCGAACAGTGCACCCCTAGCCCGAAAATAACCATCGAACTAATCCTCCACGACTCAGTAAATAATTTTCGTAAAGACAGTAATCCTCAAGGAGCATAGCAGAACTATTCAAAGGGTCGTGTCCCCAAGAAAAGGGCAGCAAGTAATACAGCGAAAGGGATGTCCCGAAATAATGTCCCCGATGTTGACTCCCCGCTGATCCCCCGTATCTAGAGATTCAGCCCATTTTTAGCTTGTGCATGGGGATTTTTATTTTTTTGGCTTTAAAAAATCGGGAGAATCATTACGCATTGCCATCTTTGACCCGGTTGAAACAAGCCATTATCGGTCAACGGAAAGGCGTAAACTACGCATCGGAAAGTGCTATTCGAAATTTAGAAGGTACGGGATTTTATCCCGCTCTGTTCGCCCCCCTCCCCCCCTCCCCCCCTCCGCTGCTGACGCGGAGGGTAGAACGTGGCTTTCTACTGCTCTGTGCCCTTTTCGACCCTCCGCGGCGTACAGCAGTTAAAACCGGGCAACAACAGAAGACGGAAATGGAATCCGACAACCGGACGGTCGGAAAGAAGAAGACAGAAGACACATTCTCTGCATAGGCACGGGACGCTATCTTTGGAAGGGAGAGTCTCTGAAGAGAGAGCGAGGCGCGGGAGGAGGCGCAGGGAAGGGAAGGGAAGGGGAGGGAGGAGGGTCTCGATTGGCGATCGAGTGAACGATCGTCGTCCGGAGTGCGAGATTCTTCGAGTGCGGCAATTCTCGGATCGCGTCGAGGGAGGAATGCGCTTCTTGCTTCGTGAGATTGGGGCGTCGAGAGGGGCGGAACGGATCGAGCGGATTTGAGACCTATCGAAATTGAGGAGGATTGGCGTCGAATTGGGGAGGAATTGGGGCGCGCAGATTACATGCGATACGAAAATCAGCAGCTGTGGAGGGGTATGGTGCGATTGCAGCTGGGTTTTCTCCAGCCTCAACCGGACGAGGAGGAGCAGCAGCAGCGGTGGCTCCCGGCGGCACCAGCAGTCTCCTCGGCAGCAGCGCGATGGCGGCTGTTCCACAGGAGTTTGTGGGATGGGCATTACCGCAGCTTGCGAAGGCGAGCCTCGATACTGAGGCTGCCGTGGTGGCGCTGACCGGATTGCAGGAGTTTCTGAATTTAGGCGACCCTGTAGCGTTGGAGAGGTTTGCTCCTCCAATTCTCAAAGCTTGCCAATCGCTGTTGGAGGATGAGGGCACTTCCATGACTCTCCTGCGTCCACTTCTCGGGGTGTTGGTGGTCCTAGGGTTCAAATTCAGCTGGTGTGTCCAGCCCCATTTTGCCGACATGGTGGACTTGTTGCTCGGCTGGGCTCTGGAGTCAGAAGTCAGTGAAGTGGATTGCCGAATTATCACCGATAGCTTCGTCCAATTCCAGAAACTTTGGGTGGGGAGTCTGTCTTTCTCCATGAATTTGCTCTCGAAATTTCTCGGGGATATGGAGGTTTTAGCCCAGGATGCTACTCCAACCACTCCCCAGCAGTCGAGGAGATTGTTGGCTCTGGCTTCCTGCTTCGTGACTGTTTTACAAGCAACCACGTCCGGGGTCTTGGAGGCTGATAAAGCAGATCTTATATATGAACCGGCTCTGGAGATGCTACCGCGGCTCATAAGCTGCTTGGTTACAGCGGGCAGAAAATTCGCAGATTTTAGTTGGACTGCCATTGCGTGTCAGTGCATGACTTTGTTCGCCGACTTTCTCAAGGAGAAATTCGCAAACTATTACTCCTCGGCCCTGCAGGTGCTGTTCCAGATTCTGACTCCAGAGATAAAGTCAGCTCAGCGCGGTAGTGTTGTTGGTCTGCTCAGTGCACCAGCGGGCTCAGCATTGCAGTCTCAACAGGTGCTTTCTCTCCTACAAGTGAACGTGCAACTCATTTGTGCTCAAGGACCCGGATTGCAAGCTTCTGCCGTCTCCAAGTTGCTTGAGTGGGATTCGCCGTTTTCGGGACTGCGTCTTCATTCTAGTCGTCCGGTCACGGCTCTTATAGCGACAACATATTTACTTCTCTTACAACACGGTTCCATGGCGGTTAGCCTCGAAGCAAGCAAATGTTTGAAACAGGAATTGGATTTTCTCAGGCTTTTCCTAGCTCAATCACCCGGGAAAGCTGCTGAAGTTCTCTCAATGTGTGCTATTGGGAGAATATCTGATTCCGAGGCCGTCGCGCTATTTAAATTTGACCTGACAGCCTTGACTGGTAGCGCTTGTCTGAAGAAGGGGATCACGTTGAAGTCTCTTGGTGAGAAGAATCTCTCGGCAGGCCACGCGGGAGATCATGCTGATGTGCAGCTGGCAAAGCTTATGAATCTCAAGAGCTTTATTCTAGATAGGCTGAATCCATCTCAAGACCCCTTGCAATGGTATCCTAATTTGCAGCTCGTAGTTGTACAAGCCCTTCATAGGATATGCTCGCATATCCTATTTATGAGACTTTCTGGAGCGTACATTAAAAGCAAAGATTTTGAAGTAGATGGGATCGACCTTTTGAATGAATGTTGTGCTGTCATAGTGCCGTCTCTGCACACAAACGCAAGCTTGCCGTTGAAACTGGAAGTACTGGATTGGATTTGTCACTTGTGTGAAGCTGTAAGTTCCCAGAAGGACTTGATTTCGTCTCTTAAGGTGAAAGGTAATCATGGCCTGAACGCAAATCATACGAAGACAGGAGAAGTAGCCGGCTTGAGTTGCAGTCTTTTGTGCTCATTGCTAACTGCCGCATCCCACAGTGAGCCGAAGGTGAGGGGACGAGTGGCAAACGTGTTTGAGCTTCTTCTACAGGCCGAGATGGTTGCTCCCGCACAGCTCCAGGCGATAGCTGTAGTTGCATTAGAGCAACTCGGCGATTCTGAGCCTACTTTGCAAGCTGCTTTTCGGAATGTACTGGCAGCGGTTGGGCCCGCCGCGTTGTGGATGCGTGGCTGGTTCTGCAGTGGCAGCGACCTTAGTATTCCTAGCCAAGCTTGCTGGAAGCAGATGTACACTGGAAAAACCTCAGCGCAGCACTTGCGTCCGCAACAGCTTGTAACTATATTGAACTATATTTCTCAGAGATGGCAAAACCTTCCCCCAACTTGGCTACAAAGGCTCGTTCACAATTGCCCGAGCAGTGCCAGGTCGGGATCATCGGCCGTTGAGGAAGAAGAGCGCTCAACAAAGGTCGATTCCTGTTCTGGCGATTATAAAGCAGAATCGGGACCTGATGAGTTGGGTTATGACTCAGAACTGCTTGAAAGGGCATGCGGTAGTAACAACTTAGCTGCTGGCTGGTGGGCAATCCAAATTGGGGCGAGGCATTTTATCACTGTTAGGTTGCGAACACATCTTGGTGGACCTACACAGACCTTTGCCGATCTCGAGCGTATGCTCGTGAGTGCTGCTCATTTATTTCAAAGTGATGGTGGGCAGAGGGATATCGCTAATTCTGTAAGCTCCATGGGAGTACAGCTACTTCCGATGCGTTTACTTTTGGAGTTTGTGGAAGCTCTTGAGAAGAATATATATAATGCTTATGAAGGTTCGGTTATCTTGACTCCTGCACCGACGGCAAGTGCTCCTTTTTTCCGAACGAACAAAAAGGTCTGTGAGGAGTGGTTTGTCCGTATACGTGACGCTTTAATGAATCTAAGTGTGGCCATCCAATGCTACTCTGGAACGTTCTATCATGCATCCCTCAAACTGCAGGATTTGACGGTCATAACTGCAACAGCTTTGAGAGATTCAGCGCGTCCTCAGTCATCGGATAATCAGTTATCTTTGAAAGTCAAGGTGCAGCAGGATGTTTATCGAGTCCTACGACATGCATCACTCGCTCTCTGTAGAGCTCATGAAGTAGATGCCCTTCTTGGTCTCCAAATGTGGACATCGTCATCCTTCGGCGCCTTGTTGACAGAGGATAGCTCATTGTTGCAGAAAGATGTGGGTCCTCTAGGTTGGATGACTGGACTAGGATACCAAGCACAGGGTCAGTATGAACGAGCTGCAGCTCACTACACGCATTTACTGCAATCTGATGAAGCACTGGGGATTATGGGAGCTGATGGAGTTCAGTTCACAATTGCTCGGACCATAGAGAGTTATGGGGCACTTGGTGACTGGGAAGCTCTAGACAGCTGGTTACAGGAACTTCAGTTGCTCCGAGCAAAACATGCTGGAAAGGCTTATTCCGGTGCTTTGACTACAGCAGGCAACGATATGAACGCCATCCATGCCTTGGCGCGATTTGATGCGGGTGATGTACAAGGAGCTTGGGGATACTTGGATTTGACCCCGCAGAGTAGCAGCGAACTCACTGCTGATCCTCGTCAAGCACTTCAAAGAAGTGAGCAAATGCTTCTTCAGGCTATGCTCCGCCGAAGCAACAGGGACGACGCAGAGCGGGATTTAGCAACGGCTAAAGCAATGTTAGAGGGTGGTCTTCTGGTGGCAGCACTTGATGGATTATCTGACGCAGCTCCTTTTGTCATGCAACTGGAGTGCATCAGGGCCTACGAAGCAACAGGAATACTGCGCAGCGTACATGACGATTTTAGTGTGTTGAAGTTGTCTGATACGGCGTCTATGAGTGCCCTGCCGCAAGTAATTGAGTCTCCACTTGATGTGCTTGAACAGGACTGTCACCAGTGGCTTAAGCTCTTTCGCGTATATCATACAACACTCCCAGAGTCTCCAATAACGTTACAACTTCATCAGCAGCTTGTGAGGCTGGCCCGCAAGCAATTTAATATGAGATTAGCCAGACGTTTATTACGTCAAACTCCTAGCGAGCAGGCTTTTACCGGTGCAGGATCACTTAGCAGGAATCTTCTAATAGGTTTCAAGTACGAGCGAATCCTTCTGCATTACGCTGAAGAGAAACAGGAGGAGGCTATGGTGGAATTGTGGGACTTCGTTCGAGGCTCTATGTTCATCAACCCTTTTGCACATACCCCCGAAGCTGGAAACTCTATCATGGCCAAGGCCTGCTTAAAGCTATCTTCCTGGTTGCAGCACAAGCCTCCTCAGATCTCTGCAACTAGTCTGGTCCCTAAATTGAATCTGGAGAATGTGGTCGGTCACAGACTTGAGAACGATGACAATGTGGATTTCCGGGTCACTGAAGGATCACCAAATGGGAACTTCACCTCAATCCTCCAGGAGATAGTAGGTGCAGGTACCAAGGCTGCAACTGTGCTCTGCCCGGACATGGCGAAGGCCTGGTTCTTGTACGCTTCATGGTGCTACGATCATGCGAAAAGTTTCCTCACTGGATCGTGTGTGCTCTCGACGCCCCTGGTGTTCGATCAACTACTCGAGTCAGAGCTCGATACGAATGGGGACAGCCTGACTGTCTCTGTGATAGCGAAAGTTATTACCGCTGCCCTTGCCAAAACTGGCGAAGAAGACGTCGACGCAGAGAGTAGGGCAGACCATGAAAGCAAGCTAGCCAGAGACAAGATCCTTGGGCTTGATTCTCTTGCGCAGCGCCTCCTCTCTATCATGCAGAATGCTGCTGGAGCGGTTGGGGTTGAAGATTCCGATGGCGAATCTCCTGCGAAACAATTAAGTATGCAGTTGCTACAAGAGCTCCAAATGCTCCCCTTCATGTCCAACCCTTATGAAGTTGGTGCCCTCGTTCACCAGTTGATGCAGCTCTGGTGGGACTTGAGACGAAAAAGGGTTTCCTTATTCGAACATGCTGCTCGAGGCTTTCTCCAGTATCTTTCTATGTCTAACAAGGAGAAACCAAGCGGTCTGTGTAGTAAGAAAGGCTGGTCTGATAGACTCAAGTTAAAGAGGGCTGACGGGGTCTTAAGCGCTTCTTTGTTCGTGTTGCGGATCCTCCTCAATTATGGTGTTGAGCTTGAGGAAACTCTAGTCCAAGGGCTTGCTTCAGTACCTCCATCGCCCTGGCAGGTTATAGTCTGTTCCGTTTTGGCCATTTGATTTCCAATTTAGGTTTAGTTGTTTTGACGAGTTTTATGCGGACATTAATATTTATATTGGAAGCGTTACGTTGGTTCCTTTTCTGGTGTTTTAACAAAATTTTTGAATATTTGAATGGCCAGGCTCTGACTGCGCAGCTCTTCGCGCGGCTGAGTAGCCATCCGGAGACGAAGGTCAGAAAACAGTTGGAAGCCTTACTGATGTCTCTGGCCAATGTTTCACCTTGGGCTATCGTCTATCCTACTTTGGTGGATCTGAATGCTTGTGAAGGCCAGCCATCTGAAGAGCTACACCGTCTTCTCAGCTGTTTGGTAAGAAACCACTTGTTACCTTGTCAGTTTCGAGATGTAGTCAGTCTCAGTTGGTTCCACGTTTTTATCTGGTTGATTTTTTGCTTATGTATTTGTCAAGCGAAAGCAGAATGCATTATGACTTGTAAATTGTCGTTGGCAGGTGAACCTACATCCCAAACTTGTGAAGGATGTCCAAGTCATGATTGGAGAGCTCGGTGCAATCACAGTTCTTTGGGATGAACAGTGGCTTAGTACTTTACAGGACCTTCACGCAGGTGAAAAAGATTTCGTGAAAATCTTTCCATTTTCAAGGTTTTCTAGAGAGAGCTGTTGATTACGCTCACTGCCATTTGTCGTCGATTGCATTGGTTTGTTGAACTGCAGAAAGGTGATGCTGGGCCTAGCTTACTGTCAAATGTTTTTGGGAGAAAATTTCGATTTCATAGGACGTTATTCTGACAGCTTTCAACCCCCTTGGTTGTCCTACCCTGCAGACGTTATGCGAAGGATTGCCACGCTAAAGGAGGAAGCTGCTAGAGTAGCTGAAAATCCAACACTTTCACATGCAGAGAAAGCGCGCATTAACGCAGCTAAGTACTCAGCGATGATGGCACCTGTAGCTGTTGCCTTGGAACGTCGACTTGCGTCAACGTCAAGACCTCCAGAAACACCGCATGAAGTGTGGTTTCAAGAACAGTTTGGAGCTCAACTGAAGACTGCCATTCTTAGCTTCAAATCTCCTCCTGCAGGCTCAGCATCGCTTGGCGATGCTTGGCGCGTGCTGGACACTATAGCGGCATCTTTTGGGAATCATCAAAAAAAGTCTTCTACGCTTCTCAGTGACATCTCTCCCAGGCTTGCTGCTCTAAGGTCATCAGATGCTCCAATGCCTGGTTTAGAGGTTCGGACATCAGGATTTGAATCTGGGCCCTCAGATAATCTTCCAGGTGGACTTGGAAGTACTAATCCAGCTGTTAGCCACTCTGGGATGGTCACCATAACTGCCTTCGACGAGCAGGTTGCAATACTTGCAACCAAGACCAAGCCCAAGAAGCTTTCAATGTTGGGTTCTGATGGTGAGCGCTACACGTATCTTTTAAAGGGGCGTGAAGATCTGCGACTTGACGCCCGTATCATGCAGCTCTTGCACGCAGTTAACGGCATGCTTCAAGCTCACAGTCCTACTCGCAGACGAGGTCTTAGTGTAAGGTACTACTCAGTTACACCCATAAGCGGAAGGGCAGGATTAATACAGTGGGTTAATAACCTCACGAGTATGTACGGTGTATTCAAGTCTTGGCAACTTCGAGTCCAAGCCGCACAGCTTGCCTCGAGTGGAGCCCTTAATACTCCGAACCCGCCTGCAGTTCCACGGCCCAGTGACCTATTTTATGGCAAAATTATTCCGGCACTCAAAGAAAAGGGCTTGAGAAAGGTGATCTCGAGGAGAGACTGGCCTCAGGAGGTGAAACGGAAGGTTTTGTTGGAACTCATGAAGGAAACGCCTCGGCAGTTGCTTCATCGGGAGCTTTGGTGTGCAAGTGCTGGACTTCGTTCGTTCAGCTCGAAGCAGGAAAAGTAAGTTGTACAGTATCACTCAACTGTGGCCACTAATTTCCTCCATTTGCGTTTACATTCTTACTTTCATGATTTAAAACCCTAGATTCCGTCGTTACCTCATGTATTGAGGTTTTGTACCTCACAGTTCAAGTTTTCATATCCCTCAGGTTGAAGTCCCTGTACGTGGTAGGAGCATGTATGTATCATTGCATATTCAGCCATGTTAAAGATCATTAATTTGTTAATTACAAACATGTTCTTCTCCATCCAGTAGTTTGCTAACAAGCGCACTACCACAGGTTTTCTGGAAGTGTGGCCGTAATGAGTATGGTAGGATACATCTTAGGACTTGGAGACCGGCATCTGGACAATATTCTCGTGGATTTCTGCACCGGGGATGTGGTGCATATTGACTACAACGTCTGTTTCGACAAAGGGCTTCGACTTAAAATTCCAGAAATTGTTCCATTCCGCCTTACACAAACAATCCAGGCTGCGCTTGGATTGACTGGAGTTGAAGGCGTGTTTCGTGCAAATTGCGAAGCAGTTCTAAAGGCGCTTCAAAATAATAAGGACCTGATCTTGATGCTTTTGGAGGTATTCGTTTGGGATCCATTAGTTGAATGGATGCGAGGAGATGGTCACGACGAAGCTACCATCGGTGGAGAGGAGCGCAAGGGAATGGAGCTCGCTGTCAGCTTAAGCCTATTTGCATCGCGCGTGCAGGAAATTCGTGTGCCTCTACAGGTTTGAAAGCCGTCTTGAGGTTAATCAGCTTAGAAGAACTGTTGAGTCTTCCTTCGTTGCTACTTTTAAGAGATGATTATTTATGTAAGGGATTGCAGTGTTCGCGCAGCAGTATGTACTGATATATTGTGTTTTTTTCCCATCGAACAACACACGGTGGCATGAACAGGCTAAAAGGAAACTGGATGTTAATCTTGGGCAGACTTTGTATACCCAATAGCAGAGTTCTTTTGAGGTTTAGATTACTTCGACTCAGACAAAGTGTGCATAACTATCCTCTACCGAACTTCTGGTTGCAGGAGCATCATGATCAGCTGCTCTCAACCTTACCAGCCGTGGCCCAAGCCCTCCAGGTACTGCGAGTCTCAATCTTTGTTTATTATGTGGTCAGAAATGAATATGAAAGTTCAGTTCACAGCTCTATCTTCTGGAATTTATCAGTATCTCCTGTGCTCTTTCAATTCGCTCCGTATAGATCCTAGCCTCATCTATTCTCTTAATGGAAGTTCATAAAAGACAGGCGAACTCTGGAATGTCTTTGATATTCCGAAATTATGAGCTTACCCATGCGTAACTTCCATAAATTTCGCTGCTTGCTTTAGCTGCTCCTTGCAATCTGCTATGAATATGAATTGTTTGCATGTGTTGACAGTTACTTATTACTTTATTGATGTTTCCTCCTTTTGTTTAGAGCTGGACGGAAGCTCAAGATCGATATGAGCAGGCAATGACTGCTTCGGGGCATCTGGAGCAAAATCGTGTTACAGCAGCAAAGACCGAGGGAGCTGGAAGAGCACTCATGCAAGAAGCATCTCTAAGTTTGGAGAAGGCTAGACTTGGACATGAGGTACAAGCTCGAGACTTTGCACAGGTGAAAAGTTTGCTGACCGAGGCTGCTGTGGAAATGACGCAGTGGGTGGAACAACACAGTCGAGTTTTAAATGCCCTTCGAAATGGCAATGCATCGGAAATTCAAGCTATTGGGCAGCTTCCCAGTCCAGTTGAAGCTCTCTCTTTAATATCTGCAGTATTATCAGCTGGAGTACCATTGACCATTGTGCCGGAACCTGCTCAGATTCACTGCAGGGAGGTTGATAGGGAAGTTGCACAACTCATGGCTACCCGCCATGAAGCGCTCTTACAGGCATCAAGGGCCTTGCAGTCATACTCCACGGCGTTGCAGACGCTTTTGCCTGCCAATTATATAGTCAGTAGTGACGGGAACACTTGGGCTAAAATCTTGCAAGTTTTAGTCACTAAACTTTCACCAGATGTATTGGCCGCTGCTAAGAGACAGGCTTTGGATCTTGTAGCAAGAGGAAGAGGGGACCATGACGAAGTCATCAGGCAAAAGTATGAGTCCGTACAGATGCACGTTGATCATCTGTGGAAGGAAGTTGGTAAGCTTAAAGCTGAGTGTGCTGAATTGGAGGCATCGATTGATGTGGAAGCTGAGCGGAAATCCAAAGATCGTCTTCTTACAATTTTCTCAAGGCACTTGTTATTGAAAGGTAAGTCAAAGAAGGATGAGGAATTTGTCGGCACTGCTGTGAATCACAGCAAACACGAAGACTCGAAAGATTCCTCTGTGGAAACTGGTGAAAAACGCGCCAAGGTCAAGTTTGTACTTCAAATGTCGGTAGCTACTTTGTTCAACGAAATCTATGAGAGTGTGGGGAAACTTACTGCCGATCGCGGAGCCTACAGAAATGTTGATGAGAAGTCTATGGAATCCTGGGATTGGTGCCTACCCCAGTTGCAAGTGCAGATTGAGAAGTGGTTACTGATTTCAGACCTGGTCACGGAACTTCATCAGCTAGGAAGTCCCTTGGCCAATACTTTCTCTCAGGTTGTCGAATGGGCTGGAAACTGTCGTGCCTGCATGACTGGTGTTGAGGATCTGGGCAATCAAATGGTTGGTCTCGTTCTACCGGAAACGATCAAAGCTACACTTTCACATGATCCCGCAGTGCTAGAAGCATTCACCTCCCTTTCTCGTTTGCGGTCTTCTGTCGATTTAGCGCTGGAACAAGTCTCCGTCATTGAAGCCCAAAGATCCTCCCTTCTGGATCTAGAGAAGAGCTATCCAGAGAAAGTTGAGCAAATCTCCAAACGACAGTCGGAACTAGAGCACAATGCAGCCAAATCTAGGGAACACCTGTCATGGGAAGAGGCAGAGGAATTGGCCAGTGAAGAAGAGGCTTGTCGTGGTGAATTGGAAGACCTTCATAAAGCTTGGGCTCAGCGTAGTTCCCAAAAATCTGCCATAGCAAGAAACGAGATGAACATACAAAATGCCTTGGTAGCTGCTGAGCAGCGCTTTGACTCCCTTGTTACCCTTGATCCAGAAGGAGACCTGCACCTAATGTGTGGAAAAGTTCTTTTGGCAGCGTTCGCCAGATTGTTCTCTGGGTTAGAGCCCTTGGACCACGCATTGACTGATTTCGCAGATATAATTACAGAGCTTAATGAAGATTCTGTCAATACCACCGAATTGTTGGCAGCTGGTTACCCGGGGCTGAAATCCTTTTGGAGATCTTCCACTGCTAATAGTGAGAAGATGTTCTTTGTCTGGAAACTCAGGATAATGGATACACTTCTGACATCATGCATCCGAGATGCAGCCTCGAGTGAAGATATGAATCTGGGTTTGGACCAGATTCTCAGTTTGCAGAAGAAGAGGCTAGAGACTCAGTTACATGATTTTCTCGATCAGTACTTGAGAGAAAGGCTAGGCCCGGTCGTACTCAACTGTCTTTTGAAGCAAAAGCAGCTGCTTAACCCTCTCGTGAGTGATGGTGAAGATGAGGCTCAGCAAGTCAAGAGAGAAGAAGAGCTGGTTAAAAGAGCTTTGCGCCTTATTCATGAGTATTGTGATGCTCATGAGACGGTGCGTGCAAAGAATTCCACTGTGCTGCTATTAAAAGCTGGAGTTGAAGACTTTATGCAGGCTCTTCGTGAAGCCCACATGGAAGCTGCACAGATGGAGTGGTTGCATGATACTGCCTTGGGACGCACAGTCCCTCAGAATCGGCTGCTTGGACTTCCGAGCTCTGTAGTTGGGGACCAAACTGGAACAAGTGTGGCTTGGTGGAGTAGACGACAAGTTCTTGACAGTTTGCAGTCATCAATATCCGCAATTACAAGAGCTACGGAGAGCCTCCAAGGTTGTGAGGTTGCTGGACTTTCAGCTGAAGAGCAGCTTGATAGAGCCATGGCTTGGGCATGTGCAGGTCCCAGCACTAACACTGCTCTGGGCAGTAACTCAAGTCGAACTTTAGGGATACCGTCAGAATTTCACGAGCATCTTCGTAGAAGAAGGCAACTTCTATGGTCTGGACAAGAACAAGCTGCTGGCATTGTGCGACTTTGTGCCGCCGTCTTAGAATTTGAAGCTTCACGGGATGGTTTTTATACCTCTTATCAAAAGGATATGTCAGTCTCTGGTGCCATCAGTGAAGGCCGTCCTTGGCACCAGACTTACCAGAATCTGATCTCTAGGCTGGAGTCTACTTGTCTTTCCTTTACCCGTGAGTTCTCTATCTGACTAGTTTTTGCGATAGCTTGAATTTTTCCCAAAGCAAACATTGCTTAAAAGGCTTTTTGCAGTCGTTGAAAGATGTGTTTTGAAGACCATTAGATTAGAAAATACGCAGTTGTCCATGCAGAGATAAAGAGAGGATGGTCTGGCCTCTAACTGGGGACCTGGTGACGTCAAGCAGGTTCCGAGGTTGAGTGGCAAGCTGCACAAAAGAAAGCGGAGACTGCGAGTGCACATTTGTGCAAGGCAACGGAAGAGCTTCGAGCAGCATCTTTGGAAGTGGAAACAGCGTTAAGTATGAGCACTGACTCCACACTTCTACACACATATGAGGAGTGACTGTGACTCTTTATCAACTTGGTTGTACTGTAGTCCGCTTGATGATTACAGACAAGTTACGACGTGGCTAATGTTGACTGTTGGTGATTAAATGTCATGTTCAATCAGTTCTGACCGTATGTAAGGACTATATTTTGCAGGTGAATTACAAGCCGCAAAACTTGAGCTCCGGGGAATCACAGTAGAAGCATCAGCTGCTGTATCTGCCTTCTGTCGAGTCATGAGGAGTCATTCCGCCCTAACAGTGGAGAGTGGCACTATGATAGAAGAGGTGAGATATGTGTACTATGTGATTGCCCGTATGATTGGACTGCTTTTGTTCCTTTTCAGGATAGTATGTAAGATGTCTATATTTTAAAACTATTGGATTATTCTGCTTCAGGTTCTTGCCATCACCGATGGTGCAGAGGGTGCCCATGACGTACACAGCCTTGCACAAGAAGCTTCTGCAGAGCATAAGCATCTTATGTTTGACTTGAACAAGGTACGGATATACATGATTCTGATGTGCCTTCATCATAGTAATGATGCTTTGATTGGAGGGAATATAGTCCAAACCACATTTCTTTCCACTAAGTATCGTGTTATAATAAGTTACACTCCGTTCTAACCCTTCTCTCTGACTCAACGCTTCACTGCGTACGCTTTTCCATTTATTCTACTTCACATCCACGCTAAAACTTAGAGGAACAAAACATGAAAAAGTTGACGTTGAAGCTAGTTACTGAAATCCTTAGTTGCACTCCAATACCAGCGTTTGTAGGCCAGGCTGAACATTATATCACAGGAACAGAGACGAATTCAAGATTTCAGTAGCCTATATGATAAGTCAAAAGTTTCGCTTACAAGCTATCTCTAAATCATATTTATCTCATCATCTGGATTCGATATCGATACTTACTAAACTAGTAGAAGGTTGTCTCGTTTGATGGTTTTTTTTTATATTTTGAACTCTGTTGCAGCAGTTGATTAGGATGTCTTCACCAGAAGTGCCTAGATGTATCACCAGCAGTTCCTGATGCTCGTATTGACTCTCTTGGATTAGCTATACCTTGCAACCACTCCCCCTTACCCTCAGGTTGGAACAGGTCTGATGAAGTGTTAGTAACAACACTTCATCAGACTCTAGAATGCACTCCGACAGTTGAAAGAGACCAACTCATGATGCAGCTAGTGATAAATCCACCGCCACTGCTCAGTAAACCAGCAGTCAAAAGTGGTGCAATTGAGGAAATGTCAAGGTGTAGACTTTAACTTGTGTTCTAGCAATATACACAGAGTTCGTGGCTTGAAATTGAACATGAGGTTCTAACTCCTGATGGCTGCCATACCTTAGTGAAGCACTAAAGTAAATTTCTAAGCTTTACTCTTCACAATTTCTATATCAATATTGAATATCGAAAGAAACTAACACTGAGGTTGACAATGATATCAATTTCATCAGGCGTTTAGAAAACATGTCTCCGATTTATACACACACTCTAATTTTTTATGAAGACTAACGACTTCAGAAGGAAAGGGTATACATCAACTTGCATCTGCCATCAGGCTTTTAGAAAACATGTCTCCGATTTACACATATACTCTATTTTATATTGGGACTAACTACTGCAGAAGCAAAGGGTATTCATTAACTTTCACTACTCGCAGCAATGCCTTGCTTATACAAAAGATTTCAATATGTTTCAAAACTTTGCTGAATTATATCATGGTTTGCAGATCAATTTGCTATTATTACCTCTGGAGCCAATGCTCGCTTCAGCCGCAACAGCCTTTGCACGGACAACAGTCCGTGACCTGGATGCAGATGGAGATATTGCAAGTCAAAGTCACAGTCAGGCGATACTTCAATCTCTCTTAAAGACGATCAAGGAGGCAGGCCCTGTAGTCACCCGGACAGTTCCGGGGATGATAATTTATGTGAACAGATTACACTCATCATTGACTAAGCTCGCACGTACTGCGAGTTCAGATGCAGGATTACTTCACAAGGCATGTTCAATAGCACTCCTGTCCTTCTATCTATGATATATTTGTCTCGCTTGACCAACATGCATAATATTATTATTATTCTCTGAGGAGCAAAATATTTCTCCTTTAAAGTTTCGCCGTGTTTCACGGCTTAATGAATAGATATGCCTCGGCAGAAGTGAGTTTGTAGAGGAAACAAGGACACAACTTCCAGAAGAAACAAGTAGGAGTTAAAAACACTTTCTTTCATACATACTCTGAGATTTATCTTATTCTAGCCCTCTTTGATATTCGGAATGTGCATTACTCTTGCAGGCTTTGGAGGGAGTTGGTGAAAGTCAAGAGGCAAGGTCACAGGAGGTCGTTGCAGCCGGCTCAGAGCTTGTAGTCGAGGGTTTAGCATCTCCAGAAGGTCAATCACACGGTTTCGTTGACCCAGATACTGACGAAGGGCCCATATGTATCGTCTCTCAGTCAGAGGATCTTTTCTTTCAAGATGACGAGGAGTGCTGGATTTCCCCTCCAGATAATGCACTCAGTATCGAGTCGTACAATGCACCTGAAACAGGTTCTGTCCATCTTTCGGTCGAAGCCTCACAAAGACTGTCAGCTGATTCGGGCGCTTCTGAAGCATCTGAAAGTGATAGAATCAAATACTCTGTATCGCACACTCCGTTTATTCGTGCTCCCGGACAGGGAGGTGTGGACATTTCTTCTATTGAAGAAACTGTAGAGGACGTGGGAAGTAGTGCAGCAGTTACAGCGGATGGACTTGATGGAAATGTTCCTGCAGTTTCCTCAAATTCAGGAAGGAAGGAGAAGACTCGAGATTTGCAGCTGTCAATAAAACCTCGGAAAGGAACATTTGATTTTTCAAAGTCTTCGAAGTTTCCGGGGACGGCACACACTCCATACGCGTTTGTGTCGCCTGGGAGTCATCTTGATCATCATGCTCGCACACCTCTGACCTCCAGACCAGATCAAAATTCAAGAGGAAAAGGTGGCTTCGCGAGTAGCAGTTACCCAAATTTATCTGACTTCCAACCATGGACAATCAAAGGTTAGCTGCCATGACGTCCAGATTTGACAAGCTTTATATGTTTGCTTTCGACAGGGTGGCCTAACCCTTAATCTTCTATCCCAGGGGCTTACACATAGGTGCAGGATAATCGCTACTGTGTTGAATGGTCCATCGCATGATTGAATTGCTTTGTGGGATGTTCATCGATGTTGCTTGATTTTGCAGAAAAAAATGCGTATGCCGTCTCTGTTCTGAGAAGAGTTCGACTGAAACTTGAAGGTCGAGATATCAATGGCAGCAGGTACTGTTCTGCACCTGATCATATTTTCACTATACGTGTCCATATTCTGCATTTTGAAACACAGGAAGACATGCTGTATGCAGGGAAGTATAAAATCATTGAAACGTCAAGCAACCTCTCTGCATGAGTAGCCTGACCCTGGATGAAGTTGCAGGCTTAAATAAGTGCTGACCGTTTGTTTCTACACCTAATTGGGTTCAAATCTATAGGCAGTTGTAATTGTCAGTATTTTGATGTGGATAACCCTCTCATTTTTTGTGGCAATTCAGGCAACTACCTGTCGCTGATCATGTGGATCACTTACTTCGGCAAGCCACTAGCCTGGACAACCTTTGTAACATGTACGAGGGCTGGACTCCCTGGATTTGAGAAGGTGGCCACTTCTGAAACGAGGGAGAATTGCAAGTGAATTTGAAGTCCTTGTCCTCATGTTTGGGAAAGGCATTGTCTACTTCGCCCACCAAGCGGAATCTTAAACACGTCAATGTGTTCCTCTTGGGAGAAGTTTGAAATGCTTGTTTCACCGCGAGTGGTCAAAGAGTGGAAGGCTTATGCCTATGATTCTTATATCGACTTGTCTACTGTCTTGAACTTCCTGACGTCGACGCTAAGCTCGTATTGTACGAAGCCCAATCTCTGAAAGTCATCGGAATGTAATACTATTGAAACTGTCGACAACTCAAATCAGAGACCCAGCTTTGTAAGTATTTCTGTGACTCATCATTGTCTTGAGATCTCTTGGATATACATTTGATTAGAAATTTAGGGCGACATTAAGTCGCCGTTTATACCACTTTTAATTAGGAGCAGCTTCGGTTATGGAGAAGTTGAGGAAAATTATTTCCTAGAAAATTCAAATCTCGTGGAGGGAATGTTCGGGCCTGTTCGTCTTCGCTCCTTTTTATATTTTGATATCATCAGTGTTTCGCCAGTGTTCTCCCACCACAAATTGGAGTGTAGATTTTATCAAGGCATCAGTAATTTTGACATCTGAACTTTCCTTTCGTTTCAGATAAATCAGGGCACGAAGTCGATTAACTTGATATTCATCGCGTAATGCGGACCCTTCTCGGTGACCATTCTACAAGCTGTGCCCGTGGCTGTCTAAAGCACCTAAATTCAACCACTGAGCTTGACGGAAACTTCGCACCAGCCCTTCCTCATGAGAAGTGATGATGTGTTTGGTGCTAAGTACTGAACGATAGTGGGAATCCCCTTCTTCAAGAGTTTCTATTAGCTGCGGATGGAATCAGCGTTGAAGAAAGATATGGTAGATCTCCATTTTTCATTATATATACCTTGTCCTTTTGGATAGCCGCTTAATGGTACTACCACATGTTTTGTTTTCGAGAATTATAAAACAGCTGACAACATTCTTTTTCGTTGCTGCAGGATTGCAAGTAGATTGTTGGGACCATGTCTGCTAAAGATGCAGCAAAGACCGAAGAGAACCAAGTGTGCTTTACAAGTCAAAAATATAATACGTGATCCTGGTTCAGAAGGAATTAAACAGGATTGTGTCCAGTGAAAGCTCTAATTCGAAGGTTTCGAAGCCGCACATGAAACGCTATTGTTGTAATTTTGGGTTTCACATGTATATTTTATATAGCAGCTAGCCTATGCTATCGCTGATAAGCAAATATGCTTATGAGCGTGACAATGAATGATGGAAATTGTGGTTTTGAATTCATAGAGCAGGGGGGCATTACGGTTGGCTTACCAGCCCGCGCATCTTTTTGTTTCATATATTTCGACCTTTGATGCATACCATCACGTTGTATATGTTGTCATATGTGTGAAATTCCGTCTACATGAACCTTGGTTGTTTGTACGATTGTCGCCTAGCTTTTCTTTTTGGATCCTGACCTATCTACTCCTACTGGGCTGTCTAGCTTCACTGATTTTGGATCCTGACCTAACCTCTACCGTTGCCGTCCTGATCTTATAATCTACTGAGAGTTTATATTGTCTCGGTCACACCTTTTACCTCCCTTTATCTCTATATTGCTGCCCACTATCGACCGTTTCTCGTGGCTTTGATGTTTGTTTCGCTGTTTTTCCTGTTTTTATTCAGTGCCAAGACATCCGAGTTATCGTCTGGGTAGCCTGATGTCTCTTGACCACCAGCGGAATGCTGTGTGGATTACAGGGTTGCCCCTTCAGCGTCTCTGTTCCCCTCCCTCGGAGACTGTCTTCTTGATGGAGATGGTATCAGGACTTGAAGAACCGAAGACTAAAGGTCTAAGAAAATCCACGAAGGTCATGTTACTTGAAAACGACTGAATTATAACCTTCATGCGAAACTACAATCGTAATTATCATCTAAGTGTGACATTGACATGAATGTCTTTCTGCATGGTCAAACTAGATTGGAAATGTCACGGGGGAATATTTTGGAGGAGTGGACAAATTTGGAGCAGTTTGGTGCAAGTTCACTTTTCTTCATTGATTGTAGTCTGACGAATTATCGATGATTGATAGGCTCTCTGCCAGCATTTCTTCCGCCCGCTGGGATTTTCTTGTTCAAGATGTCTGATCGCCGCCTGTCTACGTTCTCCCTGGAGCGTCCTTCGTGCTGCAAGGATTGAGATGTCCAATGAACATTTGGACATGATAAGAGCATGTATCATCGATCACCGAAATGGTGTTTATAAAGTTTACATACAAATAATCATAAAAGTGTGTCACATGTAGATATATGTTTTTATAGTTTATTCAATTTAACGTAAAGAGGTTTGAATTTTTTTCAGTTATCTCAAACTGAGTTATATCTATCTCTAACAGGTCTTTCCACGTCTTATACAACACAAGCATAGAACTTCTCATTATAATATGGATCTCCTAAAACTACCCAATTCAATCTATCTTATCTGAATGTAATAACGTTTGTTAGTAACAAACAGCCTCATATAACTTCAACGGTTTCACTAGTGAAAATCGTTCTAGTAACGTATAATTTGTAAAAATTGGATATATTCTTCTTAGGTTTAGTAGGCTTCATACTTTCTGTATTCAAAAGAGGGGGAGAAAAGACAAGTCTATATATGCCAGTTTAATTGCTCGTATCAGCTTATTTCAAACTTTGTTTTATATATTGAGGTAGGGATTTGGGGTAAGAATGTACAAATACAATATCATTGAACTGGATAGAGGTATTCCATTGCAAGCTCCCAAAGTTTTTTCACTTTGTTTTCTTTGGCACTTTGTATTTCAAAACTATCTAGTGTAATGTTTTGAATATTCTTTCGGTTGAATTTATTTGCATTTTGATCTTGTTTCTTATCATATATTTACCTTCCCAAAAAATTGATTGTAGTAATATTTTAAACCATTGGAATCATGTATACATATAGAATAAAACACTCTCTACTTCATACCCACAAGGGTAGAAATTGGCAAAACAACACTGGTTTGTACCCATAGCCTTAGAGGTACCAATACCGTCTTTGTCATGTAATTCGGTATTTACTAAAAATAGCAGTCAACCTAGGGTTTCATCTTTGAGGTCTATAGTGTCGACAGTGATTTGAAGAACATCAATTCTTTGAGTCGAGCCTGTTAGCGTAGGGAGTTATGCAATTGCCCGTAAGCGTCGACCTGAAGTCTCTTCGAGTGGATTGGACTCGACTTATGTTTGTGACGGTAACGGTTTTAGTGCTAGTGGGATAATTGAAACCGAGGTGGTTTTCCCGTGGGGAAAAACACGTATTTTCACTCGAAGAACTACTTTAAAACTTTGTGATATTTTTATAGTTAAATTGTAATTAGTTTCCACTTTAGTGATCTCGTTTACAGATACCATGTAAACAATCCTTGTACACATTGGACTTTTGACTTTCGAAGAAGGGCAGCAGTTGTGGTGCATTTGGATGTGTACACTCTTGTGTCTTGTGTGTGTGTATGTGAGTAGTAGCGTCATGAGGGTACAAGTGGAGGAGTTGGCGCAACTGGTGCCAGTACCAGCAACAGTACTGTTAGCATTGCTGGTGGCGGCATGAGTGGAGATGCTAGTGGCGTACCTTCCTTTAGCCCTATTCCTGAGTTCTTCAAGAGATTAAGGAAGAAATGTCAGGGGGTAAAGACGGAAAAGTTGAGGAGTCTCTAGGAGTTTGAGCGGAAGACTGATGAGAGTCTTTGGAAGGCATACACTCGTATGCGCCAATTGATCTCGGTTACTCACAGTGTGACTGAGGCTTAGGCTGCCCAATATTGGTATTGGAATCTGAAAAGAGAGTTGCGGAGGAGAGTTCGTGACACCACTCTCATGAGAGATGTGTCATTCACATTGGCCCATGTGTTTGCTTTTTCTGAGAAGATTGAGCTTAACATGGTGGAGGAGAGAGTGGTGACGTCTTCATTTGCGAGGGACACAACCACTACCTCGCGTATCCTATATAGCACAGCACAGTCTCGTCCCATGGGTGGTGGTAGTGGGAGTCGTGGAGTTCAGACACGACATCCTTCATGACCCAGAGAGCCAAGTGCGTGGTCACTATTGCCTTCATTTTCTGGCTTGCCATAGGAACCATCATGTTGGACATGCGGAAGTGGTCATATGAGGAAGGATTGTCCTCAGGAGATACGGAGACAAACTTCACAGGCTAGGCCACAGCTGGCACAGATGTTGTGTGATCATTGTGATCAAGCGGGTCATCCTCGATAGTGTTGTTTTGACCTTCATCCGGAGTTGAGATCTGGAGGTAGAGGTCGTGGCGGTGATACTCCAAGAGGCCGAGGTGGTCGAGGTGGTAGGGGTGGTAGAGGTACCAATGCAATTGAACGTACCGTAGGGAGTGATACGTCTGCCACAAAGACCGCTATGGCTGCTTGGATTGGAGCTAGAGCAAAGTCTTGCTGCTATGGTTGATCTTGGGCCGAGCACTTCCACATCTTACGAGGCAGAGGATTTTTACTATTTGGCGAGTGCAGCACAAGTGGAGGCATCAATTGCAGTGACCAGAGGTGGTGCTTGCACTTCAGAGCCACGTGGTGCGACTCTGGAGTTTGATCCTCATATGGGTAAGGGTGGACATCAGGTCAAACTTTCCTAGTCCTTTTTGTTGTCAGAAGTGGGCAAGAGTTCATCTATGAGACCTGCATCATCTAGTGAGTCTGGAGGTAAAACAGAGATTCTTACATAATCTGTTGTGGACGCGCACGTGCCATCCGGTGTAGTGATACAGATGGCAACTTCAGTGCTGAGATCTTCATATTTTTCAGCCACGGAGCTCATGGGCTCTGGTTTTGATTTGGTTCGAGTATTTTGGGTAGCAGCCACGTCGTGTGGGCGTGTGAGAGTCATTGCTACGAGTGCCGAGATATGCGAGGATACAGTTGAGAAGCCATCCTCAACGTCTACATTGATTGAAGAGACGTAATGACAGGCGGCAGCAGCAGAGATGGAGTCCTTACCAGCTCGACCAGCCATTGATCGTGAAAGGATTGTCTCTAGTGTGTGTATGTTGGACAACTTGAGTGGCTTATTTCGCTTGGTGAGTTTTACCGGACAGGTGTATGTCCCATCCAGAATTCTGCTGGATTCTGGTGCACATCCCTTGATGTTGGGCAAGGATGCATGAATTGGTTTGGGTATTCGGAGGTCAGAGTTGTAACCTTGCCCATTCTAGATCCAGACATCACTCGGTGGCACCAGCAATAGATCTTATTTTATGACTAGGTAGAACATAGCGGTGCAATTGAGGCATGATCATGCTCATGATAGCTCGTAGTTTGGAGTTCGTGCGGTGGTTATATCAGCCGAGCCATGTGATGTGGTTGTTGGTGTAGCTGTGTTATATCCGATGGATTTTTGGATGGACTATCGGACGGAGACTGCTGCCTATCGTACTGGTTGGCAGTCTGCCGATAGAAGTCTGAGCGAGCTGCCGGTGAGATTTATTTCTCGAGATCGATCTTTTGGATCTTCATCTACGGTCTTGGCATCCGTTGTGGGTTTTAGCGAAGTGCTTACCTGGCCTGATGACTTGTTGGAGGGGAACATGTTCACCGACAATACCTCAGTCTACGAAGATGTAGAGGAGATTGTGAGCTTTGCAGCGGAGGTGTCTTCACCCTTAGATGTTCCACTTTGGAGTTCTTCTTATGCACTACAGCTGGAGGCTGATAGGTTGGTGAAGAAGACTTGGAGTGAAGCCTCTTTACCAGCAGAGGCAGAGAGTACTTCGGATGATTGGCTAGTTGGTGGTCCTAGCGCACTGTTCCCATTTGTTACTACACCGATTGCGTGGAAGTGTTCCCCACATGGTGTTTGTGTGTTGGATCTTTTTGGTGGGATCAACACAGGTTTGGCTGCAGTGTTGTAGTCAGGTATCCCCGTACGCGGATACTTATATGTGAAGAAGGATGAGACTGCACGTAGAGTTTCTTCACGACATATTGCACAGTTGATGTAGCGTTTTCCTTCATTGTTGCCACGATCAGCTGTTCGAGGATACCATAAAGTGTTGCCTTCAAACATTTCATTGTTGGGGGGCGTCAGACCTTGACCGAGTTGGCCATATTGATATGGTGATTGCAGGATGGCCATGTCAGGGACACACACGCGCTGGACATGAAATAGGGTTGCATGCCCCATATCTCAGATGTTTTCGAAGATGTTGCGAGTATTACATCATTTCCAAGTGCAGCAGACACGTTCTCCAACATACATTCTGGAGAACATATTCATGTTGGGTGACACTGGGGCCTAGTTGATGGCGAGCGTTCATTAGGTCCGAGCATGAATTGGATCAGC